CATCACTGTAACATTCTGGAAGTGAGGTAAGCAGTTATCGCGAGATGTTTGCCACCCTCGGAGACCATGCCATTTGGTCCAGCTGTCTTTCAACCGTGCTACATTAACGAAGAATCATAGCGCCACAAACAGGTAAAATGGCTAGCCACAGATGTCAGTTTAGTTTGGTCTCCTTTTCCTAGAGTGAAAGACCTAGTTGTAGTAGACAGCGGAGGTTGTTACTCCCTAACGCCATTAACTACGTTATTTTTGGCTCATTTTCAAAATGGTCTACTTAGTGAGAGTACCGTTGAAAATATCGACTAAACTAGAATATTGAACTGCATGTGAACAACATATCACAGGAGGTCATTGAGTCTGAAACAATAGAAGCATTAATGATTCATAAATATTTCTGCTGGTTTCTGATTCTGAGCCCATATTTATATACACAGCTGTTCGAATGATTCATGATTTGGGGCACCGAATACAGCAGACGGTAAACAGATTAATGCCAACGCGTTTCACTGCATATACCACAGCATCATCAGGACTTGACTGAGCATAAATGACAGCTTGAAGGCATTTATGCCCAACAGGTGAACCATACCAATTTTTCAGTTGGTTCATCACATACAGCCAAACCGTTGTCAAACTCTCTGAACAGAGAATAATGTTCACATCTAAATGAATCAGATCTTTGTGATTTTGACCCAATTTTGTTTATCAATTCTGTGACTGCGCCCCACCTTTCACTGATGATATCAGAATATGTGTATTCGTTGCACATGCGGTTCTTCATTGCCAATATATTCGAAGACTAATTTATTATCAGATCTAATTTAGACTGGACATTGACTATAACAGACGCATTGGCCTGACTGAAAGAATGCCTTTCGGTAATCACATGTTCGGCAATATCAGAATTGTCAGCCTGTCCAGGCGAACCGCAGCAAGGTGCTCTTTCATCCTGATGCTCAATTTCCGGTTGTCTTTTCAATATACACCTTGTCGCAATCTCTGCACTGAATTTCTTGGACAACTTTAACAAAAGCATAAATCACTAATCAGAAATTGTTTACCCTATTTTGTTCGCGTGTTTGTTTATTATCAACTGATCACTGTAAAACTTACCTTCTTAAACGCTGCTTCGTGCAAATGATAACCATGGTCATATATGCAAATAAATTTTACTGATTATTTCGAGGACTGAAAATTTCTCGACTCGTTATGACGTTCGATATTCTCCATACCACCGTCAGACAGGTTTTAAATTTAATCGGAGGTTGCGGCCACCTACTCTTCTCATTTCGCAGTCGAACTTGGGATCGTTAACGGCGAACAAAAAATTTCCTACATTTATCGTTTACCGATTTTCAATGTTCAACTAAACTGCAATATGATTCTGTTTATTGCATTGGATTTTGTAGGTTATTTTGTTGCTCATGGCTTTTTCTTTGCCGTTATGCCGTGAGAAATTATCATCAAGCATCATCAAGTTTATTTGAGCTTTAAATCATTCAATCATTAGCGACTAAACATCTGGCCTGTGGTGATGCGTGTTAGTTACCGGCCAAATGAACTACTTACTACTAAACATCTAGTGCATAGCAAGCAAC